AATTAATATATATATATAAATGATTTATTAATATGTTAATGGATTAATATATTAATTAGAAATCATTATGTTTAATTAATTGTTAGCCAGAAATTAATCAGAATTGATTTTGGGGTTAAAAGAATTAATTATAAGGTGCAGGGACTAGTTTGCAATTATCTAATAGTTGAGTGGAAGGCTCTAGAACCCCCTTGGAAGAGGGTGGACGAAATCTTTAGGGGAAACCCTAATAATTTCGTCCATAGGGGCTTGGATAAGGCCCTTGGGTTTGCTTAGGCCCTAAGCAAAGGATAACTAGGGTTTCCCTTAAACCCTAGATCCCTCAGCTATATAAGGAGCCTCCTGGTTCATGTTTTTGGTGACTCTTTCTTTTGAAAAAACCCTAAGGCCGAGATTTTGCATACTCCCTCTCCTCTCTCTCTTCTACTTTCCTTCTTGCTAGTTTGGGTGTGACTCCATTAGAGGCATTACACTTGTGGTGCTAAAGCTTCCAAGAAGATCAAGATCAAGATCAAGATCAAGGGAATATCAATTGTTTGCTATAACAATTGAAAGGTATGTAAACCCTAAACCCTAGTTTACTATTTTCGATAATAGCCTCTCTCCTCTAGGGTTCTTGTATTGCAATTCAAAGTTGTATGTTCAATAGTTAAAACATAGATCCAAAGTAGGTTGCATGTGAACTTAGGAATTGTTTTTCTAGTTTATTTGTTTTACCTAAAACCCTATATCCCCTACCTACCACTATCACATAATCACATAGCATACTAGCACATAAGCAATGACGTAGCTAAATGTATTCAAGGTAGGTCCTAGGACCTACCTAAATTCTAATATATTATAGAAATTATATATAAACTTATATTAGGACCTACCTTATCCTATTGAAAAATATAAAGGACCTATCTAATTTCGTATGAGGAACCACGTAACTTTTTGTTCTAGATTCGCCACTGCACATAAAGCATAACAGATAGTGGCATACTAGACAATTATCACAAAAACAATCATCTCAACTATAATCACCTACTAGTGGGCCGACATTGGTGCCTTCGATCCACTTCTACTGGAAGGTAACTCACCTCATGCTGCTGAACTTCACTGCAAGAAATCCTTAGCTGTTGTCCTGGCAACTCTTCGAGCTGTCAATACCAACCAATTTAGCAATTGGGTTCTATATTATGATTCATAATCCATACTTGGGTAAAATGACCATTTTACCCCTGGCCCACAAGATACTTAGCTAAGGCCCAAATCCACGAAACCAATCAAGTCCAAAACTCCAAAATCCATAAGAGCCCACTAATGACCCAATTTTCCAAATTGGTCCCCAACCCTTACATGGGACTACCCTCTAGCATCCATTCCGTACTTCATGACCCTCTAAGGGTCAACCTTGGTCAAAGTCAACGTCAAAGTCAACATTCTGGTCAAAGTCAACATCCTGGTTGACTCAACTCGCCGCGTTGGTCCATCAACTCGTCGAGTTCTTGATCCATGAAACTCTGGAAATCTCGATCCTACTCGTCGAGTTTCTTTCATGAACTCGTCGAGTTCCCTTCAATAGAATCGGGACTTTTCGTTTGAACTTGTCGAGTCCTTCCTTGGACTCATCGAGTCCTCAACTCTTCAAACTCAAAACCATGGCCAACTCACTGAGTCATCTCCTAGACTCAACGAGTTTGCTCAGTAACAGAAAAGATTGGGGGACCACGACCCAACTCGTCGAGTCGTATGAACAACTCGTCGAGTCCCCTTTGTCTTAATCCATTAAGTCGCTTTCTGTTGAGTTCAACACTTCCAAACCATAGATCTGGTCCCCAAAGGCTGGAATACCACGTAAAGTTGCTAACTTTACGTCCATGCATGGTGTCAAGAAGCTAAAACACCAAAACTAAGTTCCAAAAGAAATCTAAGGCATGGAGAAGGGCCAAAACTCAATAAAGTTGGCAACTTTGAGTCTCATAAGGCCATGGACGACCAGATCTGAAGTCATAACCCCAAAACATGCTTGCATCCATGAATGGTTCCACAACAAACTACTAAAAGCCCTAAACTCCTCCATGGAAAGATCTAGCAAATGAATAGTCAAGGTATAGACTTTATACCTTAATATGGCTACCTTAATAGAGAAACCCCTGGATCCAAAGCTTCCTCCTTCAACCAAGCACCTTCAACTTCAACTCCTTCAATCAATCACCAAGGAATTACTCTATTTTCACTTCTACACACTCAAGAGGCTCAAACTCACGAATTAGGGTTTACTGGATTGAGGGAGGCTGCAAGGAGGTGTTAAGGACCTTAAATAGGGTACAAACCCTGAAAATTAGGGTTTCACTCTAGCAGTCCTACTCGTCGAGTTGGGGCTCCCCAACTCGTCGAGTAGGTATCTTAACCCGCGTCCAAATTCCCATTTCTACTCGACGAGTTTGGGGCCTCCAACTCGTCGAGTCCTTTAGCAAAAATGAGAATTCTTATATAAAATACCTACTAGGAACCGGGCGTTACAACATAAGTATGTTGCCATAATCGGTGGCGAAGGCAGAGCAAATACCTTTTGGTTATGTTTTTAGTTTGTCAAGGACAACTTTCACAAAGTGTTCCAACATGCTTCACTCTAATAACATTTATAACCCAAGTCACTATTACAAGCATTCATAAACCAAGTTTACAAAACTATAAGGGTTACACCTGACTGGAGGCTACATTACTACATTATATATATACCTCTCATTTACGTTATTTTTATAGGATTTTGGGTTCTACATTATATATATATATATATATATATATATATATATATATATATATATATATATATTCCAGTAATTTTTAATAGTTGGTTTTGGATTATTACCAAAAGAATTAATCTTATTTAATCTTGAAAAATCATTTGTAAGCTGATTTATATCATCATTATCATTTATGAATTGTTGAGTAAGATTATCTAAATTTAATTCACTTTCATTATTACTTTCGTCAGATTCGTCAAAAGAGTCATTATTTGTTTTTAACATATTTATAGATACGTTTTTTGAAATACGAAAATTAGTAAGTCTTTTTTCTAATTCATCGATTAAATCTTTATTTCCAAGATTAAAATTTCCATTTATTTGATGAGGAATAAAGCTGACATTACTAGAGCTTGCTACATTATTATAGAATTTTTTTGTTTCAATTTTATTTTCTTTTGATAACTGTAAATTTATAGTGTGTTATCAAATTGACGTGTTATCAAATTGTGTTAGTATTTATTCAACTGTTATCAAATTTATACACTGTGTGAGTACATCAATTATCAAAAATATTATCAAATCTTCTGCAGAGATAAGATGCTAAATTATTACACGAAAACAAACAACTTTTACAAAGATGAAAGAAGATGCTCCATTATCGCAAAAGAAGATTTTCCATTATCAAAAAATGACAAAATATGATGCCAATTTGTCAAAAGCTTTAGAGTTTTGTCTGCCACATCTACACTCCGACAAATGCAAGTTGATTCAATAATTCTCAAGATTGATCCGGCAATCCTTCGGTTTCCCGTCTCAAGATATTTCAAGACTCCAAGACTCCTATATATTGAGGAGATATGTTTTAATTAGGATCATCTCTGGGTTCTCTAAAATTTTCTCTCATTTAATTTCTCTCAAATGTTTAGTTCATGTCTAAGAAAAGTGTTCTCCTATCTACTTCTAGATGTTCAAAATCTTTAGATTTTCAAATCATACTTGCTCCAGACGGATGCTCTGATTGTAATTTAAAAGAAGGTAATATATAAAGAATTTTATTCAATTGAACATCAAATTCTTAATATTGTTCAAGAAATGACCATGGCAGCTAATGCTTACAAGTCTCACAATAATACTCAACTTCAAATTGTTAATATTATTATTTCTGGGTTTACTGGTACTCTTAAAGGTTGGTGAGATTTCTATATTACACCAGAAGAAAAGAATTTTATTATGACTGCCAAGAAAACCGTTATAAAACAAGAAAATAATTTACCTATTCAAACTCAAGAGGATGATATGGTTAATACTTTAATTTTTGCTATAATCAAAAACTTTGTAGGAGATCCTACTACTTTTCAAGAAAGAACTTCTGAAATTTTAATGAACTTACATTGTAGAAAATTAACTGATTTCAGATGGTACAAAGATAATTATCTCGTTAAAGTTTTTTCAAGACCTGATTGTAAAGAATCTTATTGGAAAGAACGTGTATATATATATATATATATATATATATATATATATATATATATATATATATATATATATATATATATATATATATATATATATATATATATATATATATATACCTCTCATTTACATTATTTTTATGAGATTTTAGGTTCTGTTTGTTGTATTGTGGATTTTTTTTCTATGAAGGTTCATAATTTTTTCTATTTTTAGGGTTTCAACATATATTATTATATATTATTATGTTCAATTTTCTTTATTAATTTTCATATAATGGGTTGTTTGGAATCTGTGAGACCATTGTTCCAACAAATGTCTTTAACTATCTTCTATTGTTTTAGTAAATTATTTATTTGTTTATATTCTTTTTAACATGATCAATTAAAAAACACAGAAGAAAAGAAACTAAAAAACACAGTAGAAAAGAAACTAAAAATTGGTAATAATAAATATAGAAGAAAAAAACTTAATATAAAATTAAGTCAAAATTTGCAAAATAATGGGTTGCGGCACAGCTTGTGGCTCGTTTATCCGTTACGTCCACCACTCAGCCCTTATGGTCATGGAGGTTCGCCTGCAGTGACTCCAGGACATGAGGCAAAGCCTCATGTTTGCAGCGGGGATTAGTCGGTTCGCGAAAGCTGGCCCGGAAACCCTTGTTAGGGAAGTTGCCTTTCCAAAAAAAAAAAAAAATTGTTCTAATTAAAGAATTTTGGAAATTACATAAAAATGCAAAAGGTGTGATTGGTACCTCCCAAATATACAAAACTGTGAGGGCGAACCCCATTTTTGGTTCCTATGTTTAGAATTTGTTTGAGCAAGAACCTTGTCGTCGTCATCTTCAACGAAAGTCATCTGAAGCGGAGCAAAATCAGCGGTAGGAGAGATTTTGCATTCATCTGCGAGATTAGGGAGTGAAACAGATGGGAGAAGGAGGCGAAGAAGCGAAAGGGGCAAACGAAGGAAACCCTAACTCCAAAGATCATGATAATCAAACTAATCTACAGCTGTTAAACGAGAAAGGCGCTTCCAGAAAGGGTAAATCATGCAAAGGATGTTTATACTATTCATCAACGCTAAAATCCAATTCCCGTAACCCTGTTTGCGTCGGCATCACCCGTTCCCTTCCCAAAGGTACTCTTTTCCTCTCTCTCAGATGTATTCTGAATGCGCTGGAATTCGGATTATTGATATGTTAAGTATCGATTCCTGATATATCATATGATTTTGTGATCTTGGGTTGAGTGCATAGAATTCACTTTGTAAGTAAATCCAGACAAGTCATCAGTTCATGTCATTAGGTCAAAATTTGAAGGAAAAATAGTTGCTTTACGGATGTATTCTAATGGGAATTGTTATTAATAGAACTAATGTTGGTGTCAGATTGAAAGGAAATCAATATCAATTGCTAGTGCAACTGTGAAAGCATATTAAGATAGAATATGGATAAGAGAATTTGCACATCCTTATACACTTCATATGTCATGTTAGGCTGCTGCTAATTGTGAAGGATTTAAGTTTTTTTAGACATGGTGTTATATATGTACTTATTTTCAATTGACAGTTTGACACTATATGCATATACTTGATGGTAAATTTGATCTCAACTATGTCTATGTGGCTATGGCTATGAGGCTATCACATTGTCTCACAAGTCCCATGTCTTTGTGTACATCATAGCTCATTGATATAACTTTCAAAATGTGTTTATTATAGTTTTCAAGATTGAATATTTTTAGTTTAAAGAAAGATTGGATCCTGAATTTAAACTTTTATGACTAGTACCTCGCTACTATGTTGGAGAATCTGAGATGGAAGCTTCCAAAGAGGGAAGAAGCCTTGCTGATTTTAGATATGGTTGTGTTGGTTACTCTGTTTATTCGGATATGAAAAATCAAAATGGTGATTCACAAGATACACAAAAGGAGTTGCCAGTTTGTGTTGGAATCGAGGTTCTCTCTCTCTCTCTCTCTCTCTCTCACACACACACACACACACTAACAAGCTCACTTACATCATCAACTGCTTGCAGGTTCTTGTGGATAGAAAAGTCACCAATGCCAACTCGGCTCCTACTCATGCTCATGCTCATAATCATAATAAAGGTAAATTATTTGATTAGCTGATGGGTAATGATGTCTATCTGGATAAAGTGTTGGTCTGTTTCTTTTCTAGACTGAATAAACTGTCTGAATGAGACTAAATGACTATTTTATCCTTACATTACAATAAACCATTTTCACAAGTTCCATTAATCTTAACAATCATCAATTTTAACGTGAGGGAAATTTGGAGGAAAAAAGGGTTGGTGTCTTAATACATTAAGTTAGGTTTTTTTTTGGCATAACCTATTAGATTAAGTAAAAAAGAAACATCCATGCATAGCTATTGCACATGATCTCTTATTAGATGCCATGTTTTTTATTTTGAATGTCAAACTTGTATTTTCTAATTATTATTATTTTTTATATGTAACAAAACTAATGGAATGTTGTTTTTTGTTTGAAGATAACCATGCAATCCCACAACCACGAGTAAACAGGCCTGCTGCTCAATCTACATCATCAGATGATTTCTTTAGTAGGCAAGTAAAAAAGTTGCATTTTTAGTTTTGAGGTAAAATAAGCCTAATTATTTATTAAACTCTGTAGTAATTTATTGTTTTGTTTTTTTATACAACCAGATTTACGCGAAATGCAAATGTAGTTGCATCAGGGGTAGCAAAGAATGTGCGCAAAGTTGGGAATCAAATAAAGGAAAGTGTTGATGACATTTTGTATCCTTATCGAAGAAGACCAAAGTAATAAAAATAAAATAAATGGAAATTATTTATCCATACAGACTGAAGCCATTAAATCAAGTTTACCATGAGGTCAACAATGGTAATAAAGAAGATCAAGAATCATGAATCAAAGATGCAAAAAGTTTCATTGGTTCTCATAATGTGTTAAAACTAAAATATGCATCATACTACTATTTTTGTACACTTACTCATAATTTGCAGAAATGAGCTCCATCTTTACGAAATCAGATGAGAAGTTAGAATTTGTTTGATTGCTAATAAAAGATATTTTTTTTTTCCCTTTATTGCAAGGAGTGTTTCACCTTCTAACTATCATGTTTGATTAATCAATTATCATGTTTGAAGACTTAAAAAGAAAACCTTTAATATCTCGGACAATGACATTTTGGCATTTTGGCATCATCAAGCATCTGCCTTTATTGTACCTTTTGGTCATGGAATTGTTTTTATAAGTCTGATAACTACAAAAAAGGTTTTCAAGGTCCCATTTACTTGATATATTATCAATTTACAGATATATGCTTAAATCCTAAACGTAAATGATATTTTTGTAGCAAATGAAAGATAGGTAATTGTTTGGTAAATATATGGTGTTTGTTTTACATCAGTATGACTTTTTAGAACATTCTATTCAATTTTTGCTGTGAAATAATCTATGCTATTGTAAAAATACAGGAAATATGCTTTATTGTACCTTTTGATCGTGGAGTGTGTTTGGTAGACTAGTTGAATAATTAGCTAATAGTTAGATAATCTAATAGCATTTGATAAAAACTAGTTAAAAATCTAGATGACAAATATAAAATGAAATTTATACATATAATTTAAAAAAAAAAAAACAACATATAAAAGATACTTGGAAAACTTTCTGGAAAAAACTCGATAAACTTATCAATAAGCTATTTTAAATAGTTTAAAAAAAACTAGATTATAAACTATTTTATTTGACAAACCTAATGACATGATAAATATTGGATAGAGGTTGAAGTATTTTTATGTTTGAATTTGCAATAATATAGATAATCATTTTTTTTAATTATTTAAGAAACAAATAAATGAAATGAACAAACATGAAATTGTTATATATTATTCAAGTATTATATTTATATCATATTTATCTATAAATTATTGCTAATTGCGTTTTCGTCTTCATTTTCTTTGATATTGTGTCTCAGTTATAAATTTAATATTTATGGTTAATCATTTGTGAGAAATGTGCTAATGTTGTAACTTGTAATCATCTTACAACCACCAAATATTTCCATTTGTGTACTTTGATAGAGTTGTAAGAGTCTTTGTTAAGGTTAAGTTTGTTTAAGAGATATGTAATCTTGTTCATCTAATTCCTTGTAGACTTGTAAAGCTTAGATTAAAAAGTATTTGTGAACAGTTTGATCTTCGATTCAAATCTCAACTTCAAGTTTTGCCATGTAAAAATATTATAAAAAATACAAGAAGTTACCAAAGTAAAAGTATCAAATAAATCTAAGTTTAGTTTAGCAATTTAAAAGTTTAGAAGAGGACAAGAAGCCCGTCTAGCTCAGTTGGTAGAGCGCAAGGCTCTTAACCTTGTGGTCGTGGGTTCGAGCCCCACGGTGGGCGTTTCTTTTTTCCCTTCCACGACGGTGGCGCGTGCCTTCATTGACAAAGCTTTTACCAAAAACGTGTACGGATGGGGACTTCATCGAACAACCACGGTTACCAAATACGAAAAAATAAAAAACGTTTAAAATCAGCCCTCAATCTTAATCGTTAATCCCCTCCTCCACGGTTCCCAAGACAAACGATAAAAACAAACCTAATCTAAATTTTCAATCCGAAATCGATTTCATTTCTTTTCAATCAGGATTCTTTGATTTGGGTTTTGATTCATTCCTTCTTTTTTTGATCGAGGAGAATCTGGTCTTCAATAGATTGTTGTTTGGAGGAAGTTATTAGTTCCGTTTCAGATTATTCGTTAATGGCCGCTTATGCGGCCTGTATCCGGGCCGGAACGAAATTAAGATCCGCCCAGGCCATTAATTCATCGGTTCTTAGAGGCGCCTTCGTTCCCACCACCCCCATCTCATCTTCATCTTCATCGTCATTATCTTCTTCTCATTGTGATCCGGTTTATAGCAGATTTGATTTCAGGCAGATTTCTCAACTTGTTCAATCCAACGGCAAACGCCTGTTCCTTGTTGATACTCTAGCGCTTGTAAGTTTAGTTTCCCTTTCCTGAATTAGGTTAATTAATGATGTATTTCGTATGCTCCAAGATGTAGCTTTTTGTTTTTCTTTTCGAATGTGAAATGTGTTAATGGGTGACTAGTTATTAGGTTAGAAGATTAGAAGGACAAGGCGTGCCCTCGAAACAAGCCGAAGCGATTACATCTGCAATCACCGAGGTTTTGAACGATAGTTTGGAAAATGTTGCTGAATCTTTCGTCTCCAAGGGTGAAATGCAAAGGGTTTGTTTCTATTCGTTAACAATTAGGATTCCTTAATTTTTCTTGATTGAACTCATACTTGTTGCCGATCTGCACTATGTTTATTCTATAGATTGAGATGACTCAAGATGGTAATTTGGGGAAATTCAAATCTCAAGTACAAAGCTCTCAGGTAATCATCAAGTTTGATCCTTTTGCAATATTCAATGTTTTTGTTCACCCCATATGAATGAAGTTCAAGTAATCATCAAGTTTGATCCTTTTGCAGGAAAATCATTTCTCATTGTTGCAACGTGAGACTGAAAAACTAAGGAATGATATAGAAAAAATGCGTAGTGAGTTGAGGTATGCAATAATGAACTATCTACAATTCCACTACTTTTTGCAGTTTGTTAATCATGTTCAAAACTTCACATTTCTAAATCTTGTTTGTAAGAAATTACTGATTTTGATTGTTACCCAGGTACGAGATTGATAAAGTCACTGCTGGGCAACGCCTGGATTTGAATCTTGAAAGGGGGTATAACTGTTTTCTTAATTTTTTTTGCTAATTATATTGTTTGTCTTTGTGTACATTTTATGAAAAATGAGAATTAAGAAATGTGATATATATATGAGTGATGAATAAATACAGGAGAATTCGTGATGAGCTTGCAAACCAAAACCAAGAAACTGCAAACCTCACAAACAAACTTGATCGAGTGAGTAAAAATAACTAAATTAAATATTGCTGTTTTATCAAAAGATTATTAAAGATTGTAATTTTTGGGATTGTTTTATGAAATTAAAATTAGGAAATTCATTCGTTGAGAGCCCAGTTGGAAGCAGCAAAATATGATGTGATAAAGTACTGCATAGGTACCCTTGTATCGATTTCTGCTGTTGGTTTGGCTGTGTTACGTATACTCATGTAAACTCTAATCTTTGCTAATTGTAATGATCGTAGAGAAAGAAAGAAAAACGTTAATTTAGTTTCATGCGTTTTTATATTCTTTGTGATCAATGAATGAAAATGTAACATATTTATTTATATACTAATTTTAACCATAGCGACTGATTCTTCTCATTTTATCCAGCACTTGTTTTACCATCTTGATGTAATATTATCGTTGTTTGTTTTGTACTTCCCTAGAGGTGTACATTGTATTTGGCTAGTTTAAAATTTAAGTAACATATTTGTCTATCAATTATCAAATGATTATGTAAGATCAATACGGTATGATGACTTCATCAAACAAAATTAAAGTAAGTAGCACTAAATTAATATATATTTTTTTTATATAAAGAAAAAGTATTTAACAATAATATTATATGAATTTAATATATTACAACATATTAAATTAAAATAAGTTGTACTGTATCTGGAGTAGATATTTTGTAATTGTCATGCGTTAAATATTGAAATCATGGTATACTAGTTTATTATTTAGCATAGGAGGTTAAAACAATCAAACTAATTAGTCAAAAATTATAAAAGTTTTGAGGGTTAAATCAATTTTATAATTTAACGAGGTATATATCAATCTAATACCATAAATTATATGTATCAAAATGGTTACCTAATTAAATTATAAAATTGGATATAAATGTGAGTTTAATAGGAATATATATATATATATATATATATATATATATATATATATATATATATATATATATATATATATATATATATATATATATATATATATATATATATGAACTTTAAAATGATATAAGACATAATATTTAATCTTTGCAAGAACATGTATAAAATTTCCCCATGATAAAAATCATTTATGGGATTCTAAATAACCGACCTCCAAAAAAAAATTTCATTAAAAATACGCTCGTGTGTATATATATATATATATATATATATATATATATATATATATATATATATATATATATATATATATATATTGCTTGGATGGGTTTTCTATAAAAATTGACCGTTTCTAAAAAAAGTTTATATTTTTTGTTTAACTTTATCAAACTAATTGATATAAAATTTTAATTTAGGGGAAAGGACGAGGGATAAAATTTTGTGCTTTATATAGTTTCAGACTTTCACCGCATCAAGTTGTACATAATTACTGTTTCGTCCTTCTACGTTTTGAACATCTTCATATGCTAAATCCACAAAACCATCGTCATCACCTTGTAAATTCCTCAACTCGTTTCTTCTTCATTCGTCTCCGACTGTCTTCGAGTCTCCCGACGACTTCTCATGAACATCTTAATATCCTAATCTACAAAACCATCGACGTAACTTTGTAAATTCCTCCACCCCTTTCTTCTTCATTCTTCTCCGACTGTCTTCGTTTGAGTCTGGCGACGACTTCTCGTCCAAGAATATAGGAATTCGATTTCTCTCACCAAAAACCTCCTGCGCTCTATTGCCGCCACCGAACGCCTGCAACCAAGCGCTTGTACCCTGTCGTGTGAGAAATTTCGGTATGTTGTTGGTTGTTTCAGACAAATTGATTGAAATTTCAACAAAAATAACAAAATATGCAAGCTTTTCCAAAATGAGGAACACTATGTTTTTTTTAATGGTATGACGAAGAACTTCCCAATTCTTACAAGGAAAATTTGAACGTATGAAACAACAAATGAATCCACCCCTCCATCCAAGTGTTGATGTGATCTAATATGTTATTTCTCATTAGGGTTATCATATCTTATTTTTGTTTTTTATAAACCATTCTGGTGTATGAAAAGTTAGTACTTCTTCTCAAAAGGTTGGGTGTAGTAGATCAAAATATTATGAATAAAATAGACTTAACAAAACTATAGTAGGTACTTAATAGTTCGATTTCAATCTCTAAAGGTTAGTGCATTACAACTAATAACTGGGCACTTACTGAAAATGAAAACACTAATTTGTTAATTTACCACTTCATTCATAGCCTCAATAGGAACATCTGCACTTACCCTTTCCTTCACAACCTCACTTTCATTTAGCTCTTCATTCGTAACCCCACATTCATTTACCCTTGGTATACCATCTTGTATTATTTGACTTTCTTGGTTAGCATTGTAACATCCCAAATTTCAGTGTAGGATGTTGGCACATGTTAATGTAATGAATGATACGTGTTTGTACTAATGGAAAGACCAAGGCCTGCGTGTCATGTGAAATGGGGACGAAATCATGGTTTTACCTAAAAACAGTCAATGATCAAGTTTAAGTGTTAATTATGTTAAAACAAGTCACCTTATGGTTCATAATGAAATATGCATGTTTACAACCAATACTTATGCAAGGAATGGTGAACATGACAAAGTATGTGCTTATAGTTGCTCAAAATACTCGTTCCGAAACAAGGAGACATGCCTTGTGAACAGTCTTTGAAATAAGCACAATCTTTGAAACAAGCAGTGACTCGGGGCGAAGTATCGAATTGAGGAATGGAAAGTATTCAACCTCAAGGTATATAGTCTCCACTTGATGGGACAGAACTAGCAAGGATCCGGTTCCACGGGAATGAATTTTTGAACCATATTTATAGTTTTGAAATAATACTTTTGGTTTAAAGGTATTTTAGTACTAAAACAATTTGAAACTACATTACTTGTAAAAAGATATTTTGATTAAATGTAAAGATAATGCGTCATTTTGTAATTGGAAAAGCTTTTCAGATTAAAAATGATTTATAAACTCATTACTTTAAAGAATAAAGAAAGGATATTTCTAAATATAACTTCGAATAAAAATCCATGTACTTACGAGATATTTCAAATGTCTTAAGTATTATCCTCTAAACGACATGTGTGTCAGATACCAAGTCAAGTTGAAGTCTGTATTGTGTGTAGATAGCTTCGTTGAAGGACTTAATAAATCGTGAATTAGCAAGAGTGGAACACTAGAGTTTATATATAGTTATCTGTGTAAATTTTATGTAGTGCTTCCCTACGGTTTCTGATTGTAATACACGTTCGATTTATTGTATCGTAAAATTTAAAAGCGAAAATATAGACCGTATATTTCGCTGGACATTGACATTATTGCAAATGATGTCATTTATTTGCTAATTCCCTTTGTATAAAGTGTGGGTGTTACAACATTGAGTTCAAACACATTTTCCTTTCCATGTTTAAAAGTAATTATCTGGAAATAAATTGTACCTTTCTACAACTTGACCCAACTTTGATAGTTAGACCTTATCCCCTACTTTTCCAAAGTCTAGTGCTTATCCCAGCGTTCCCTTTTTGTCTGGGTTGTTCACATGCACATGGCCTCCTAATCTTTTCTTCTGGTTTGTTGGTGGTACTTTTGTTGAGTTCTTGCATGTTCCCTTATTATGCCATTCAAAACAAGTTTTGCAACTTCTTATTATACCAAGTCCCCTAATTAGGTTTTCTTTTAACAAAGTGCTTTCTTGGCATTCTTCTGAGTGGAAGTGGTTTGGTATATGTTGTGGGCTAAAAACAACTACAATTTAATTGCTTAATGTTCTCCTTGTAAGTGTCTGTGAACATTGACTTACTAACGTAATTACTTACAAACACTGAAACACATTAGGTTGTTGATTTGCATTATTCATGGCTATACATGCATGCAAGGAATTCCATATATTAAAGACATTTGACTCACCTACCACACACCATAACCTGCAATGCATAAATGAAGAATAAGGAAAAGCAATTCATTATCAAATGAAGATGGATTAAAGTTTAGCATAAGGAATATATATTGATAATGTATCTAATAAAACTGTAAATGTAATTGTATATAAGTATTTATAAATGTTAGAATAAAAGGTTAATAAGGATAAGTTTGTAGTTTACCACCTATTTACAAAATAACTGGAATTAAATCCCATTATATTTATTTTAACCAAGTAGATGATAAAATTTCAATTCCTCTAAATTACAAATTCACTAAATTCCAATTTCTTACATAAATTTCAATGCCTTTCAGAAAAGTATGTCAACCAAACACCCTTTATTTGTCTAGTCGAATGTATTGATATATGTATTCGGTTCGGTTTGATTAATTTGGCATTTCCACATATTTTTCCAAATCGACAGGTTAACTGTGTGGTGCCAAACCCAAACCCAAACCCAAACCCAAACCCAAACTTTTAATTTTTATTTTTGTAATTTTTTTATAAAATAGTTTATATAAGAAAAATACTATGATTCAAAAACGGAATTACTCAAAGGGGATGAAATATGAATACTAATTCACTAAACTACCATACACTGAAAGACTCCTAATCGAATAGAACCATAGAAGTGCCACAACTACCTACAACAACAAAACCATGGAAAACAGCGGTTCACTTAAACCGGGTTCGCATCTATCCTACTTCCTACTTCCTACCTTGTTCTGATGTTCTCTACTCCTCGTCAGATGCTTCTTCCCGAACTGGCAACCGGAGGAGGTGGACCTCCTTCCTCTTCCTCCTTCTTCTGCCGCATTTCCAGAACTTTCCGGTGGTTATTAGAGTGAACTTCGCTGGAATAATTCGGGCTACCCGCCGGTCGATACTCTGGAAAAAGCCGACCCGACTTGAACCGGACCCCGCATGCATTACACAAAGTTTTGGCGCCTAGTGGACCGGCTCGCCACTGTGGAGTTTTCTGAACGAGGCAATGACTGCAACGCCGAGGCTGCTGCGGCCAGCCGAACCCCGCCGTATCAGCAGTCGCCACCGGTTTTTTCTTCTTCTGCCTCTTAACCGTCGGCGGTCTCCCCAAAATTTCCTGCGTGGGTAACAGAGCGTTTGAAGTACAGGACGAAGAGGAGGAACATGAATTTGAGGAATCCGTCAACGACGACGACAACCGGAGTGACCAAACACAGCCGCCGGTACGACTCCGCTTGCTTCTCGCTTTTTTCTGAACCAAATTCCTAAATGAAGGGTTTACAGCGACAAGATTTACAGTTTCTGTCTCCGGTTTCCTCTCCGAGCATGTTAAGAAGTAGTCGCCGCCGGAAAATGAGTCTTCGACGAATTGTGACACCCATTCAAGGTCAGCCACATCATCTACCTGTTACAAAAGGTTCAATTTTCAAATCCAACAATCTTTAATTCACCAAAATAAAAATAGGTTAATTAATTCGCACCGGAAAACAAAGTTCCGTGTCGGAGACGATGGTGGTGGCTTTGTCCTCTTTGTTCACTATTTTCACCGGAGAAAGAGAGGAGATTTTGTCGTTTTTGGAATCATCTGTGTGTTTCAGAACTTGGGAATTATCATCTTCTTCGAGAAAACTGCCGTCTGAGGAGAAATCCAGTAAACCGTCTACGAAGAAATCGTCGCCGGAGACACCATTCACGGCCCAGAACTCATCGGAAAACGACGGTGTAAAGTGGTTTAATTTAACACCTGTAGAACTGGTTTTTGATGCTTCTTCAACACAGTACTCCATTTGCTTCTTTTTTCAACTATAATACACCCATTAAAACATTCAGAAACTGAATAAAGGAAGCATATAAATATGTTATATGTAATGTAAGAATTATCGAAACAGAAATAACCTGCATAACAAAAGGTTGGGAGAAGGGGGAAATAAATGGAGGTTTATTATGATTTGATGTTATCAAGGATAAGAAGGAGGAAGTAGTTGCGTTATTAGTTAGTAACCCCACATGCATGGAAAAAAAACAACTGAGTTGATCGTTTTATCTTGAATTATTTTGTATTATTAAATTGATAAAATTATCAAAATATATTATTACCCTTTCATAAATTTTATCAACTTAAAAATTAAATACTGTTTATATTACATAGAGCATCATCATCTCAAGAAGTACGGACAAAAAAACTCAAATACCCATTAATTTCAACAAAACAGTTGATTTACAACAAAATTATATGACATGGCTTTAACTTTTGCCAATTTCGAAACATCTCATTTCTCATTTCTCGATACATAAAATTCAAAATTTAATTGGCCCACTGCTTTTTGACAAATTTGCAAAAATAGTTGACTTCGTATTGGCAGGGCCACCACCATCTCCGCCGCATTAATTACCTTTCTTCGAAATTTGGATGTCCCTCCCGCCCTAAATACATTTTTTAGAAATCCAGAATTTAATCGTATCATATATTCGAAAAAGAATTTAAACAGCATCCTCAAGATCCATGTCGTTATGTAATAACTGAACTACACAACATTACAAATCAGATCAAATAACTGAATAAGTACATCTAAGCAGTAAGCGCATTACGCTACAAGAAAGTTGGATTTTAGCCACAGCCTGCTAGTGTGGTAATAAAATTTAGCCACGCAAAAAAATACAAATGAATTTTAATTTTTTTTAAATAATTTTTATTCGGTGAAAAAGGATGACATCATTTGGTGACCACCTTGGATGCCCTACGTATATGTACATTTCTTTTCTTATTAAATCTCATCACTCTCTCATGTTTCATCTTAATTTGTCTTCCTCCCCTAGCCTCTCTTCAATGGCAATCACAAAGCTATCTTCTACACCAATGCTCTCCTCTTACTACCAACCTCTCCTTTATATGTCTCTCTTAATGGCCAGTTGCTAATCCTCCTACCCCGTATTATACATAGTTTACAATATGGTATCTTTAATCTATGATTTGATTAATTTAAGGATGCTACATGAATGTTTTTATATGATTAAATAGTGTTTGAAACCTAAAAAGCAATATAAATCATTAATATTGGTGTTGGAAGCGTTGAAGTATGATTAGCAAAGTATGTTGTTGTTTTTGGACAAAAGTGATTACTTGTTGTTTCCATCAGGCATGGAGAACTTCTCCCTAAGCCATGTACTATATCTTGAGGAAAATCACAAAAAAAAAAAAAAAAAAAAAAATCATAACTTAGCCTTAAGGAATTGAAGAAGAATTCGGTTGCTTATTGTTACCCTAGGGTTAAGTATTGAGTGTTTGATAGTTAAAATGTGTTAAACAAGTTTAATAACATTAATTTGTTAATCAGGGGTGGATTAGTGATAATGACTTTTGAATATGGTTACTTAGGTGATACTTGATATCTCGTTTCATCTATTGAAATGGTTTGGAAGGTCTACTACACTTGTGAGATGGGTTCATTATCCAAGAAAACAAGTTCATATTAAACATTATACTTTGAACTTTCTTATTCGAAATACTATATGCATATACAATGCAAATTACTATATGTAATACTTGTGCATTCACCAAATGATTTTTGTAAAGTGTTTTTAAGATGGGGACAAACTACTTGTTTTGAAATAAGATTCATATTATGACCATGTGAGACTCGAGATTTTTTTAGAAGCCCACATAAAGCTAATATTTAGAAGATATTTTATTTGAAACTTAAGATGTATATAAGGATATTTATTTTACATTTGTCTATTGATTATTTTGTTACACTCATGTATATCTTGACACTTTAAATTTTTTAAGATTTAAGGAGTTGACCGTTTGAAACATTTTCAACTAATTGTTTTTTAAATGATTCCATTTTATGAAATTTACTTTATATAAATTTTTTATTTCAAATAGCTCATAGTAAAGAACATTTCACTGAAATTTGTTGTGTTCCAATCCAGCCATCTAGTTGTGTTAGTCCGGTTGCATTCTAGCCCGACCCTTTAATGGGGTACACTACTACATATATATTAGTAATTGGAGAAAAACTAGTAGTTTTTCGGTTATCAAAAGTGTTTAAATTTCTAATTATGTATTTCAAATTAAATTAGTTTTAGACTCTATAATTTTTTTTTGGTAAGTTTTGTCATTATTATAGATTTTTTCCTATTTATAACTGGCCTTATCAATCAAAACGTAAATTGGTTTTTGTTAGCTGTATCTTTAAGATATATATGAATTTTTCTTTACATGTAATGTAAGACCATAAAACAAAAATATCTCATTTCGTTTTTTATGGGTCAATGTAAAGGTAACAAAAGAATATATGAAATGATTCGTTTTTGTACAAAAAACCGCATCATAGACTAACTACAGAATTTAGCATTGAGATATTATTTGTTTCCCGTTCTAAAAAAAAGTTATATTTGTTGTGTTAATGGACATTTTTTTTATTACTACACTAAAGTATATCTTGTACAATAGATGATTGCATATAGAGTTTTTGTCGAACATTAATTGGTCAAGACTTGTGAACCATAACATATGACTAATGTCTACTAATAATAGAGAAATTAAACATCCTCCTACTTTTATTTCTACAAATCCTTCTACCCAATGAAATGATGGTATGTGTCATATTTGTATGCTAAAATATCATTAATTGAACATTAAATGTTACATATGTCACTATTTAATCGGGTAGGAAGATTTGTAGGAACAATAAGTAAGAGGATATTTAATTTCTCATATTAATATTTGCAAAGTATATCTTGTACAATAGATGATTGCATATAGAGTTTTTGTCGAACTTTAATTGGTCAAGACTTGTTAACCATAACATATGACTAATGTCTACTAATATTAATACTTGCAAGATTTGATCTCCGTTGCAGTATGGAGATGCTATTGACATAATTATGATAATCCAAATATAAGATTCACAATCGCTTTCATTGCAAATAAAAAAAAATCATGAAATTTGGGAGGAAAAATGTGTCTAAAGAATTCTTGAAGCACAAAGGGTAATACAGGAGTAGTGGGACAATTCATGATTATAGAAACAAAAAAGCCAAAGGGAAAGGAACAAAGCAAGGCATGCCTTGGAAGCAAAGAGTACATAACAGCCAAATTACTTGTTAGTTGTTGTCCCCGTCCTATATCCATTTAAATGTAAAAAAGTAATAATGTTTCATAATAGTGTAACTACATACATATGTTACTACGCAACAATTTATAAATGATGTAATATTTAGGTGATTGATATGAAAGCTCGTACAATCATTACTTTGGACCATCGTTGAGAGATTGAGCCATGATATGAGCGTGAAATTGATGTGGCGATTTCTTGAAAATGATCATGCTTTGTGGGTTTGGGTTATGAAAGCAATCCGCGGTGACGATTGTCTTTTGATCAATAATTTGGTTGGGGTGCATCAAAATAGATGTTAGTCTAATATTATTCGTGTCTCTAATAATTGCATAATAAAAGTGTAAGGACCCGATTTTTTATCAGAGTTTTACAATAAACATTCAAAAAAAAGAGTTTCAAAATTTTTACATCCTAGAATACATTCGGGTTTACAATATATCTTAATCATAATTTAATGCAACAAAAATACATCAAATAAAAATCTGCATCTAGTCTGAGTCCTTGGTGCTACTACCTCCTCTCTTACTACGGCTACTAAAGTACGACTACTACATGAACCTGCAACACATGTACAAACATCAGACAACAAATTTGGTGAGTTATAAACAACTATATTCTTATATTCTCATATTTTATCACTCTATTCCTCTATTCTCATCTTCCCATACCATTTTCTTTTCTCTTTAAGACCCACATGGTCTAGTCACATAAAATAACTACATCGATCATGTAGAGTGACAACATAACTCTAACCTTACATGTGTACAATCATCTGAACTCAGACCTCTCACTTTGATCCATCGCGGATCCTTTAGCCACATTTCATTTCATGAATCCCTCGCGAATTTCAATGATCCCTTACGGATCCACTACATATAATCCCTTACGGATCCTCTACATATAATCCCTTGCGGATTACAATGATCCCCTACGGACCATCTACATATAATCCCCCGCGGATTACAATGATCCCTTACGGATCCTCTACCCATAATTCCTTGTGGATTACAATGATCCCTTATGAATCTTCTATGTATAATCCCTCATGGATTACAATGATCCCTCATGGATCCTCTATGTATAATCCCTTGTGGATTACAATGATCCCTCACGGATCCTCTACGTATAATCCCTCGCGGATTACATTGATCCCTTGTGGATTACAATGATCCCTTGCGGATCCTCTACGTATAATCCATCGCAGATTACAATGATCCCCAACGGATCCACTACTTATAATCCCTCACTGAGTACTTTGACTGACTATCTTTTCCTTTCACTTTCTACTCCTTTACTCAATGTATATATATATATATATATATATATATATATATATATATATCTTATTCTCTTTCTTTTTCTCTATCTCTCCATATTTCTATCTCTCCTCATCCTATCTAGATCTCCATCTCTTCTCATTATCTCTCTATTTGTCACACCCCGAAACCAGAATGGCGGAACCGTTCCGGAGTGGAGGACGTCATGTTTAGCATCACAACCAGTGTATAATAGCAATCATAGTAAACACAACCAAACATTGCATACATGAAAATTTAATAAGTTTACATCGGTTTTAAATATTATTCGAATACATCAAAAGTATAAGGAAAATATAAAGACATAATCTTATTCGCTCCGACTTCTTCACAATGCTCGAAAGGTACCTATCTACTGATTCCCTGAGAATACAAGCAGTTTTGAAAGAATATCAGCAAAAAGCTGGTGAGTTCATAATCATTTAGTTTTAGAGAAAAACGTTCTTTGATCCTTTTTGAAAAGTGTTCCTCAAGAAAATCTCATATTTTATTATGAAAAGTATGTTTGAAAACCCATTCCTTCCATGACTTCCCGGTTCATACTTGGTACGCACAATCCTAGGGAGTCCTGGAA